TATTATGTTGTGCTGCATTGTCAATGTGATGGCTGACAGGAAAGGTCAAACCCGTGTGCTCAGGTGATTTTCTCTTCTTTCACAGCCAAAATGTCCGACAAGCCTGACATGACTGAGATCGCTCGTTTTGACAAGACAAAGCTGAAGAAGACAGAGACAAAAGAAAAAAACCCTCTGCCCACCAAAGAGAGTGAGTGTCCCTTGCATCTATGTGTTTCTGAACAGCCTCGATCCCCTCTGTCAGTAGATACTCATCACTTCCCATGCTGTCAAAAGACTACCTGCTCAGCGAGCAGAGCTGCAAAAAAACATATTGCTGCAACATCAGCACATCATTGATATACAGCAAATCAGAAAGCACCATCCTCTAATGTACTCACTAAACACACACCTGCCAACCTAAACTATCTTCTTCTTTTCCAGCCATTGAGCAAGAGAGGAAAGGCGATGCCACACCTTGACTTCTGAGCACATGAAGAAAAGAAGCTGAGATGCCACAGCAAAAAGCACTTTCTTTTGATTATCACAGTATTTTAATCTCTTACTTTGTCTTCAGAAAAGGGTGCTCTTGAGCTCCCTGGGGTGCCATAAGGGTATATGGCGTCCTTACATGGGGGCTCTCTTACCACTTGGGTGGAAATACATTAGCCTGGGTACCTGTCTTGCACTGTTAGCCTATAGCTAACATGTCTCCAATATTGCCAAACTGGGGAGTGGTGTAGTGATGTAGCACAGAGAGATAGGCATCCAGGCTAGCGGGTGGGGGTGGTGGGGCGGGTAGGTGTCCACAAACGTGGGAGCAATCAGAATCTAATCATGTGGGATGTTTTCTTAACAAACTTTTTACTTTTCTTTATGAAATAAATACATAGACGTGGAACCAGTCAGTCCTGTGCATATTGCGGTCTCCTTTATGTCTACATGCAAATTTCAGACTCTAATACAAATCCTCATGAGGCATGGACTGATCATGCACAGCCAATAAATACACAATAAAAATGATTTGTCTGGACTTCTTGCAACTGACCTGTACAGTATATAAGTATTACAGTACATGATTATGTACAAGCCATAGTCTTGATGACTTTTGAACAAACATACATCACTTTAAAATTTCACTAGGTTTTTAAAAAGGTGTAAACAAAGTTCAACAATGCACAAACGGGGGTTATCATTTATTGTACTTTACTCAAAGAATCATTTAGGAATAAGGACAACTAACAGTTTAATACTTCAACAATAATTATAACAATTTACTCTGATGGGCAAATGCTAAACACACAGTCTTATACAGTACAAGTCAAAAGCTTGATGCACTCTCTCATTTAAGTGAATGGGAAGGTATGTCCAAACTTTTGACTGGTACTGTCTGTATAGAGAACTAAACGAACAGATTAATAAATTATACAAAACTGTAAAATAAATGAATTATTTAAACTCAAAGTTGTTTCATCATCCTAGCTTGCTTACATTTTCAAGGTAGCCTGGCTTGTGGGTTTTTATTTGGCATTAGTGCTTAAACGATTAGTTGGTTATTACACAGATAATGAACTGGCAATAACCCTGATAATTGTTTAAGTCATTTTTAAGCAAAAATAAAAGTTTAAACCTTTAGGATTTCACAATTTAAGACCTCACTTTGAGCACTGGGAAATTGTGATGGGTATGTTTCAGTATTTTCTGACATTTTATCAACCAAACGATTAATTTTTGAATAATATGTATAATTGGCAGATTGATGGATAATGAAGTTGATCATTAGCTGCAGCCCTAATTTTCATTATTCAGTGAATATGAATAGCAACATCACAGGAGTGACTTTAAGGCTCCCCAAGGGAAAGAAACACCACTTAGTATAGTAGGACGCCAAGACAGTGATGTGAGTTTCTCTTTTGTTGCTGGAGCTAACAGGAGCTAGCATGCTGGCTGGCAGTTGATGAGCCTGCTAGAGGCTGGAGGAATGTGGTTGGCTGAAAGACGAGGGGGCGGGGACTGCTGACAACCAGTGCTTGAAGTGGGCCGGAACGCCCCGGTACGCAGTACCGGCACCTCGACATTTTACTCTTTCGTGTACCGGGACTTCTCCCAAGCTGCTGGTACTCTCCTCTGCCCTCTCCATATCAGGTTCTCTGGGCGCTACGTGACGCTCACCTGTTCCCGTTCTCATCTGCCCGCTAATTTCTGTCGGCGGAGAGAGACGAGGGAGAAGAGAAGCTCTGGTGTCTTCCAAGCAGCCGTGTGCTGAATGTAGTTCATCAGTGTCACTTGTCGTGAACTGACCAATCACAGCCTGGATGGGGCTGGACATTTAAAAGTGTTGACAGATAGGCTAGGTGTCATTTACACTGGGGACGCTGAATGTCTCCATCACTTTTTGAAAGCTTTTGTTAAAAATGTTCTGAAAAACAGCTTGCTACAAGAAATGTCAAATAACAAATGAAACAATGCACAATAGGAAAACATGCAATGCAACTGAAATATAGAAGAAACAAATGTGCAAGCTGATTACTGCATTATATTCCATTATGAATTGTCACCTGTCACCTTAATTTTGTTTCCCTTCATATAAATAAAGACATTTCCTCCATAAATTGGTGCAGAAAATGTGTTCAGAATGCAGGAAATTAAATGGTTAATAAGCTAAAAATACCAGAAATAAAGATAGAGCCTAAATGTCTGGAAACTGGGCATTTTGAATAAAAAAAAAATCTTTAACAAAATTTAAGAATGCTAAAATAACCTTTCAAAACAATGATTTGAGATTCAACAATATTTTGAATTATTTCAGTATTTATTGTCCGCATTCACAATTAGATATTATCTTTATGCACCCCATCATTTATTTATTAGGCCTACTGTTCATTGTGAATCCTATAAACAGCAGCCTAGTCTTTTACAGTCCAAAGCTCTTGACCTGACTGCTGTCGCTGGCTGGCGTCAGCAGTCCTGCCACCCTTCCTTGGCCTGTCAAGCCCGTCACCTCTTGAGCCTTTATTGCTCCATTTCTCTCACCTCGCGCTGCCATAAATCTCCCGTCAGCGCTCCCAGGAGGGCCTAATGTGCCTGAAATGTCTGTTCGAACAATTCAATTAACGCGCATTTTGACTTTATGTTATTCTAAGCATAGTGTAATGCAAAGGTCCCGGCCCTGCCGTTTCCTCTCCTGTAAATTATGGTTGTGCTGGAATAAACATCATCCCAACCTGCATAAAAAATAAATCCATAATGAAGTAAGGAGCACTTGAATGAACCCTTTCCTTTACATAAATATGTATCAAATAATCAGCCTATAGTTGGCAGGTGTGTCAGGTATTTTCCATTTAAGATTATTATTTTCCATTTGAGATTATTAATAATAAATAAATATAGGCATTTTCTTTTAATAGGGCTAACACTCAACAGCCCATTTGTCTATGAGAGTTTCGATGTTTAGGAGACATCTAGCACCCATGCTGAAACACGCCCAGCTGGATAGCTTACTATTGTTTGCAGGTTATTAACCCATTAAATTCGCTAAACGAGCCTTCCATTAAGGGTAAATTATGAAGCCTCCCAGATTGATTTTTAATCGCTATGTATTATTCCCCAACCAGGTGTTGAGAGGCTCCAGGTTTCAGTCATATTGCAGAATGATTGTTGGGCGATATCTAATTAGTAGGGATTATCCTCACCTACTTCTCCGCTTTTGTGTGGAGGACCTCGCCCAGCCGTCCGCCTATTGTCCGCCGCGCTGAGTGAATTGTTGGTTTAAGGGATTTTGAGTGGCTTAAAGGGGATTTGACATGTGTAAGCGATTTAATTTTAAAAAAACTCTAATGTTAATCACTAACTTGATAACATCTCTCACATCAAATCACAGTATGAGTATGCAATGATAGAAACTGGCGTGATGACTGCTGATGATCGTGGTGATTATTGGAGCTAAATCAAGGACAATAATCAGCAGAATTGAATGTGATGAGACTAAACTGCTGGATAATCCCAGATTTCTATAATGAATGGCCAATATGAATTTAATCTATTTTTCTACTGGTCAAAAGTCTACAAATCAAAACCATACAGAGCAAAAGTATGCCATAAACTAACTCATTAAAGCTGGTATTTGTTTATACTCTTGTAAATTCCAGACTGTTTTCACACCAAGTTGTTTCCCAGGGAAACATCTATTATCCTATTATCAGGAAGATGCCAAAGTTGCCGATGTGTGAGGCAGTATTTACATGACTATATACCATCAGCTCCTGAAAGACTTTATGGCTTTGTGGTCACTGTCTTTCCCCCTGAGACACTGGTGCCATTTCCCAAATGTTTCCAACTACACATGAAGCCTCACCACGGCATTCAGTGCTGTATTTCCGTAATGTATGACTGTAATTTGGTGTTATGTTTGTGGCCTCTGTGCAGCAGCCAATCCCTCTTCAAGCCCCCTGACAATAATCACTATAATATTCCTATAATAAATGTTATAGCGTGTATGCGTCAAGTAGCCTACTAAGAAGCTTTTTAGTGCGCATATTTTTCACCTAGCATCATTTTCTCAACTTTTCCTTAGCCTATATCTTAATAAACCTGAAATTAAATGATTATATGATTAACATGGGGTTTAATTTGTTATATTTGGCATGTTCACATGGGATGATATAGACTGATTTAACTCGCTGGATATGCGTCAGTTCGTGGGAAAAGTGCATAAGTGCGTTAAAGCCTGGGAAAAACAGGTGAATGAATGAGGGGGCTGTTTCCCTGTCTGTGTCACTTCTTTGAAGTGCACTTATGCACCGAAGGCTCCTGTTTGTCTATAGGACGCGGCAATCACTGTCGTCGTTGACGCATTTTCACAGTGAACCGTTACCTGCAGGACAAATCTGTCAATCAAAGGGGCATGACCATATAAATATCATCAGCGTGGAGTCTGGTTACAGCTTCAGTAGCCTCCTTCTCTCTTGGTACCCACATCTGGGATACGAACAAACAAGGCCTGCGTTTTGAATACAGCTGCTATGGGACCTTTGAATCTTCTAGCCGTGGTTCTGTGCATGTGCTGTCATGTTCAGATTGTATTCGCTTGGTATGTCGCATAATTTTAGAGAAATTAATTTAAAAATGCTACTGTGATGTGTGTTTGCTAGTGGTGTATAGACATGGGACTAAAGTGATTCTCTTGTTTTCTCTCTATAGGACGGTGAATAATTTCCTCATGACTGGACCAAAGGTAAATAAATTATGCCTTTATCTGGGCACCTACTGTGCGTAAAACCTCTTCTGGTGCAACCAAATGAAAACTGATTTTGCACGCATAAATACATTTTCTTATTGGTTAAACGCAATAACGACTAACGTTGCCCTTTTTCTCTCCCAAGGCTTTTCTGACCCATGCCAGCAGTGTGCAAGTGGGCGCACAAAGCGGAATACAAGAGTGTAAACACCAGTTCGAGTGGGACAGGTGGAACTGCCCAGAGAACATGCTCCAATTATCCACACACAACGGCCTTCGAAGTGGTAAGAAATTTGTATCCGCATGTTATCATATTCATGACATGCAGCAGTGGGGTGGGTGGTACATTTCCAGCAAACTTTGCTGAAGTAAGTTAATCCTTCAAGGCAGAGGCGGTGCTGAAGCTGTTTGTGCTCTCACACCTTTATGCACGGGTTATCTGCCTTTTACGCACACTGTTTTAGCGCAGCCACTGCGCATTTGTGCTGCCAACTTGGATTTCAAAGAGTAACATTGCGGTTTGCTTTCTTTGTCGCGTATTGCAGCCACAAAGGAGACGTCTTTTGTCCATGCCATCAGCGCGGCCGGGGTGATGTACACGCTCACCAGGAACTGTAGTATGGGAGACTTTGACAACTGCGGCTGCGATGACTCCAGGATTGGACAGACAGGTACATTTGTATTTTTGTGTGTGATTTATTTACTATTAGATTACTTGACTTGAGATGGGCCGTTTATTCTTACAATTGAATAACAATACGCATTTTGAATCTCCAGGTGGTAGAGGATGGATTTGGGGTGGCTGCAGTGATAATGTGGCGTTTGGAGAGACGATCTCCAAACAGTTTGTGGACGCGCTTGAAGGTGGGCACGATTCGCGCGCAGCAGTCAACTTACATAACAACGAGGCAGGCCGACTGGTAAGATATACTTTTAATGGATTCAGTCAAATTTGTTTTTTTATGGTCTACGTTCCCAAAATACAGACATTTATTAATAACCCAGGTCAGGGGAGGAAATTATGTATTTTGGAGTTCAGAATAATTTAGTCTTTTGACAGTGGCATTGACCTATGTCTTCAAATAAAAAAATGTGTGCAGGTTAGATAATTAAATTATCCAACTAACACCCTCGCTCTCTTGGCAGGCAATCAAAGCTACTATGAGGAGAGCCTGTAAGTGTCACGGGGTGTCTGGAAGCTGCACCATCCAAACCTGCTGGATGCAGCTGGCTGACTTCAGAGAAGTGGGCAACTACCTGAAGATGAAGCACGAGCATGCAAAGAAACTGGAGATGGACAAGAAGCCTGTGAGGGCTGGGAACAGCGCAGACAACCGAGGAGCCATCGCGCACGCTCTACGGAGCATCGCCCCTACAGAGCTGATTTACCTGGAGGATTCCCCGGATTACTGCGTCAAGAACCACAGCCTGGGATTTCAGGGCACAGAGGGGCGGGAGTGTCTGAAGGGTGACAAGAACATGTCCCAGTGGGAGAAAAAGAGCTGCCGCAGGCTGTGCTATGAATGCGGCCTCAGAGTGGTGGAGAAGCGCATAGAGGTTGTCAGCAGCTGCAACTGCAAATTTCACTGGTGCTGTACCGTCAAGTGTGACAAATGCACGCAAGTTGTTACTAAATATTACTGTGCACGTAAAGAAGGCGGGAGAAAACCACACAACAAAACGAAGCACAAGCACGGTGCGCGCCGGCACTGATTGTCATTTGTTGCACAGACTATTGAGTCAGTTCGCTCATTTTTATTTCATTATATTCAGCATTATGGACATTATGGCCCAAGCATTATTCTGTATTAAAAGAATATTATTTTCATTTTGAAATAACCCATCACCTAAAACATTTTAATGCACTTTATTTTATTGATTTGATTCGATTCTGTATATGAATCAAAATTATGAGGATTATGACTCTCCGCGCATGCTCAGTCGTTTATGCTGTTGTTTAGGTCGGATACGTCTTCTGGGAAGCCTGAAAATGGTCTAAAATGTAGCCTGTATATATTTTACATTGCCAATGGTACCTAATAAATATTTTTCTACAATATGCATGACTCATTCTAATTTGTAAGTGGCAAAATTCTTCATGTTATTTGTATATTGGTGCCTAGCTGGTGTCACACAGACTTGGGGAAGAAAATAAACTGTGGCCTAATGCCATCCTTTGAAGTGCGCATATAGGCGTTTCCTGAACCCGTCCCCCAATCAGCTTTCTCGACCCCGGCGACAAAGAACAAGAGTTCCGTTTGTTCTTCATTCAAATAAAGAGAAAGTTGCAGCGTAAGGATCAAAATAACCTCTACGCGGAGGGCTGAGGGTGTAGATGGAAATGGTGCCTTCATTATTTTGGCTCCTGCCTCTTTTATACAAAATGTGTCCGGGACATGCTTGGTAAGAGACTTTCTATACTGTTTGCCTCTGTCGTTCCAATGTGTGTAGATTTTTAGATAAACTGATGTCATCCTTTATCCTCCTTCTTTTTCTCAGGGTGGCAAGTAACTTTCTTATGACGGGACCCAAGGTAAATTTTAAATACTTCATTGCTGGGTTATCCCTGACAAGTTAAGGATAACATTTCAAAATGTGAATCAGGCCCCCAAATAACATGACATTGCCTCTCCTGCAGGCCTATCTCACCTATGCAAGAAGCGTGCAGGTGGGCGCACAGAGTGGGATAGAGGAGTGCAAACACCAGTTTGCGTGGGACAGATGGGACTGTCCCGACAGCGCAACCCAGCTCAGAGGACTAAGACGTGGTAGGTTGGGACTGTAAACACTTTTTTAAAGCTGTTATAATTAAAAAATGTTTGAAATGTTTTTGCCTTATATGCCATATAAAACATGATTCCCCACGTCCTTTCATTGACAGCCACCAGAGAGACTTCCTTCGTCCACGCCATCAGTGCAGCTGGGGTCATGTACACTCTGACCAGGAACTGCAGTCTGGGAGACCTCGACAACTGTGGCTGTGATGTCTCTAAGAACGGAAAAATTGGTGAGGCTCCCAGCAAAAAAAAAACAACAACAACAAAAAACACCACATATTACTCAAGAGTATCTAACATGTTTGTGGCCTGCTGTACACATAAAACTTGCCTGCGTTTGATCTCTGAGAATTTAAAGTTATATGTTATTTCTTTAGATGGATAAAGCAGGCGATCTGAGTTATATTTTGTGTGCAGGCGGTCGTGGCTGGTTGTGGGGTGGCTGTAGTGACAACCTGGATTTCGGAGAGAATATTTCAAAACAGTACGTGGATGCACAGGAGACTGGTCAGGACTCCAGGGCTGCTGTCAACCTGCACAACAACGCGGCAGGGCGGCTGGTCAGTTACTTTCACACCACAAGCATTCATTTGACATTACAGGTTTAGGTCGTTGGCAGTGATTAACTCCCCCTGGTTTCCAACAGGCTGTGAGGGCAACAATGAAGCGCATCTGTAGGTGTCATGGCATGTCTGAGAGCTGCAGCGTCAAGACCTGCTGGACACAGCTGTCAGATTTCAGAGAAATCGGCAACTACTTGAAGATCAAGCACGGCCAAGCCCAGAAGCTGGACACTGACAAAAAGCGCATGCGGGCTGGAAACAGCGCGGACAACCGAGGTGCCATAGTGGACGCGTTCGGCAGCATCGCCCAGACAGAGCTCATCTACCTGGAGGACTCCCCGGACTACTGCAGGAAAAACGCCAGTTTGGGGCTGTATGGCACCGAGGGCCGGGAGTGTGTGCAGCACGGAGAGGGATTAACCCAGTGGGAGAGGCGCAGCTGCCGCAGGCTGTGCCATGAATGTGGCCTGAGGGTGGAGGAGAGGCGCACGGAGGTAGTGAGCAGCTGCAACTGCAAATTCCACTGGTGCTGCACGGTGAACTGCGAAGACTGCTCTCAGGTTATAGTCAAACATGTGTGCGCCCGGAGGGAAGGTGCTGATGACAACGGTTTTAGACGGAGACACCGCGGACCCAAATAACAAAATAAATTATATGGATCCGTTTGTCTGTCTCACTGTTAAAGGACCAATATGAAGATTTTAAATGTCTATATGCACTTTTCATTTCTTTTTGTATAAATACTTGACTGTCTTATTTATGAATATTGTGTTTTATTAAAATAAAGACTTTAGAATGACACGTTTCTTTCATTTGATTAGGTTATTTTACTTAATAAATCCGAGGGTCACTGTTTTTTTTTTACAACAGGGCACTCAAGTGTCTATTAGAATAAGAATGGTCTCAATGCATTTGGCAGAGGATTACATGGATAACATGGTGCAGTTCCCACCTAACCAAGGTGTTGATCCAGCGTTGATCCACTATCACTTTGATGTCAACGTGTATTGATTTCAGTCAAAGAGCAGCGAGGCTTTGAAAGACAAATTAGGGAGGCATTTCCACCGCTAAATCAGGTATTTGGCCTGATAATCCGGGACACATTAGTCTTTGCCACGTCCCACAGGCAATGCAAATGTATCACAATACATCAAAGAGCATGAGGGGAAACGCTCGACAGACTGCAACAGACATTGGGGCCCAGATATTACAACGCAGCAAGGAGAAAGTTATAAATAAGCGTGACTTACATTCCCCCCTGAATGCCAGTTACTTTGTAATCTCATAATTTGCAAGTAATTAGGTCCAAGAGGAGCCCGGTCTCCGCCCACAGGCCTATCTGTGTCTTTAGAGCCATTCATTTGCCCCCCCCACACACACACCCTCTACCCCCTGTATCTCCAAAAATCTTCCTCTCAGCTTGAAGTGCCAATTGCCTCAGCCAAATGAGTGATGGCATGGATATTACCTTCATGAGGGGGTCCATGCCTGGGGGAGAGGGGGAGGGAGTCTAACAGAAAGGGGTCTGGTTAAAAGGCTGTTACAGACCAGTTACTGTAGAAGCAGCATGGATTAGGATGTCATTACAGTATACAGTAAGCTTTGAAGCATAAACCAAAAGTCCAAAAGCACGCCTGGGTCTGGCCCCACTAAGCTACATAGCGGAGATGGTGACCCCATATGAGCCAGTTTTCATGCAGCCTTGGACCCTCAGGTGGGGTCCTCACGTCCATTCCAAAGTCTTATAGGCCTAAATCTAAATGTGGTTGTGCTTTTGCTATCACAGCCCCTCTGCTTTGGAAATATCAGTGACTTCTTTCAAATCACTTAAAACCTATTTTTATATACACATGCTTTAATGTGATGTTTATTCTTTTTATTTATTTACATGTTTATTGTTTTTTATCTCTTGTCCTCAACTTTCATCATCATTAGCATCTTTTGTCCCCTTGTTTAATTTGACCATAATTTTGTCTAGCTTTTGTTGGCTTTCTGGTATATTGACTTCTGTGTATCCTGCTTTTGCTTTTTATGTCCGACAAAGCACTTTCTAAACTCTGTTTTTAATGGTGCTGTACAAATACACTACTACTTTACAGCTTTAAAAACTCTGGCAACATTATAGTCAAAGGAGCTCACTTAGTCCATTTCAGCAAATACTACTTGTTATTTAAAATCTGACATATTAGCTCACGGGCAGTGAAAAATACCAGAGCTGCATCAGAAACACTTAACACTCAACATGCACGAACAGTAGGAAATGTCCTACAAGAAAGGACAGAAAAGCTGAGAAACTACCACAAAGAGTGACACTGCTTTCAGAGGGCAAAATGCTCCCTCCCATCCTTCCCATTTGTCCGTTTGCTCCTGGGGATGTCCTGTATTTCCCATGCTGTCCTGCTGTGTGTTAATGAAGGTTTCACCCCACTGGAGGCCCTCCTTGATCTGCCCCTTACCTCTGCTCTCCGCTGAGTACATTAAGGGGCAGGTTCCATATTGGTCCCATATGATGCTGTTGCTTGGCTTGCGTCTTGGTTGCGCTAAGTGGGAGAGGGTCGGTTATTTATCCTGCAGCAGTTTTGAGAAATTAACATTTATCAAATATTTTGGATTTAACAATTATCTTACGCTGATTTAAAATTTGTTGCATCTCCTGTTGTATAATTATACTGTATTAAATGCCTCCTCCACAGTCCAAAATGGAGGGGGGAGGGGGGGGGGGGCTCCCACAAGGACCCCCCAGGAGGACTCATGTATTCACCCACACATGCCTGGGGGTCTAGGGGAGATCTGAGTGTGACTGAGTATCCCTTCTCTCTGCTGCCCTCCTCTCTCACCTGGGTGTGAGATACTGAGAGGCCGGACACAGGACAGGCTGCGGCTGGGATACAAGATTTGACATGGCCCCAAACAATTCCACATTGTGAATTAGAATAAAAAGCACGAACCCAATATGACTCAAAATAAACATTTCTCAGCAGCAGTAGTAGTAGTTTAAGTGTATCTTCTCATTAGGATTGAGCAACAGTCTATTTAGATCTAACCATATAAAAAGTGCTTAAGAAATCTGCCTTTCACATTAAGATCCTGCTGTTCATTTAAAAAAAAGCAGACACATAAGTTAGAACCAACTAAAATGACAACTATTGTGCATAGCGACAGGCCTGTGGTAGCGTAGGAGTCTGAAAGGAAATGAAGAGCCCTCTATGTTTAGACATACTCTGCAGTGTGCGCATGCATGAGCTAATATTATTTGTCCTTTATGACCTCTGAAAGACTCTACTTCAGTCTTCCACACATAGGTAGGTGAGAAGATGACACACCACAAATATGCTTATTTGGTAAGTCCAAGCTTACATTCTAAAAAGGTAGGTGGAGGACATCGAGAGCTGTAGTTTTGTGAATCCACCGCGAAAACGGAAAAGTCCTGCTTTTCGGTGGACTTACGAGCATGAGTTTAACCAGTGTTCCTTCTAAAGTGGAGGTGATGGGATGGAATCCCCAAAGTCTAGCGGAGTACATGAGGAGGGTGAGTATCAAAAGAATAAACGTACATACATCTTATGTAACAGTCAAGTATTGTAGATCCTTTTTTTTGTTAATTAGTTAATTTAAATGACATGTGGCATGTTAAAACGTTATATCTTAAAAAGGGACTGTACAATATGAAACTAATTACAACATAATACATATGGAGTGAGCACTATTAGCAACAGCTCAATATTTACCCAGTTAGAGTATATTTTTTGCATTTTCAATATTTGTTGTCTAACATTTTACTTGGTCCCCAATTTGATTCAGTGCCTGCTCTAAAAGTGTGTGTCATCCTCTCAGCTCAAGTTTTTAGGCTGTGACAAAGTAGTGACAAAGGGCAGCATAACTGGAGAACAGTTCATGGTAAGCATATCTAAATTTCTGGGAGGTGTTCACACTTACCTCCATAAGTGTTGGGATGGTAAGGCAAATTCCTTTGTTTTTGTTGTTCACTGAAGACATTTGCGTTTAAGATCAAAAGATGAGTATGAGACAAGAGTTCAGAATTTCAGCTTTCATTTCCTGGTATTCACATCTAGATGTGTTAAACAACTAAGGACATATCACCGTTTGTATTAGACCACAGGTGAACAAAAGTAATGGAACAAATAATCTTAAAGTAAAGAACATTTAATATTTGCTTGCAGTAACTGCCTCAAGCCTGCGACCCATCGACATCACCAAACTGTTGAATTCTTCATTTGTGATACTATTCCAGGCTTTTACCGCAGCTTCTTTCACTTCTTGTTTGTTTCGGTTTCCCTTCAGTCTCCTCTTAAGAAGATGAAATGCATTCTCTACTGGGTTCAGGTCAGGTGATTGACTTGGCCAGTCTAAAACCTTCCACCTTTTCCCCCCTGATGAAGTCCTTTGTTTTGTTGGCAGTGTGCTTTGGCTCATTGTCCTGCTGCATGATAAACTTCCTCCCGATTAGTTTCAATGCATTTCTCCGTAAACTGGCAGACAAAATGTTTCTGTCCACTTCTGAACTCATTCTGCTGCTACCATAATCAGTTAGATCATCACTAAATAATAATGAACCTGTTCCAGAAGCAGCCATGCACGCCCAAGCCATGACATTACCTCCATCAGGCTTCACAGATGAGCTTGTACGCTTCGGATCATAAGCAGTTCCTTTCTTTCTCCACACTTTGGCCTTTCCATCACTTTGGTGAAGATTCATCTTGGTCTCATCAGTCCATAAGATTGTGTTGCAGAACTTTTGCGGCTCATCTCTGTACTTCTTTGCAAATTTCAATCTGGCCTTCCGATTCTTCCTGCTGATGAGTGGTTTGCATCTTGTGGTGTGGCCTCTATATTTCTGTTGAGTCTTCTTTGAACAGTGGATTGTGATACCTTCACCCCTGCACTGTGGAGGTCGTTGGTGATGTCACTTCCTGATGTTTTGGGGTTTTCTTCACAGCTCTCACGATATTTCTGTCATCAACTACTGTTTTTTTTCCTTGGTCTGTTGGACGTCTGTTGCTCAGCACACCAGTAGTTTCTCTCTTTTTCAGGACATTCCAAATTGTTGTGCTTGATTTGCCCAATGTTTGTCCAATGGCTCTGGTCGATTTTCCATCTTTTCTCAGCTTGACAATGGCTTGCTTTTCTCCCATAGACATAGACTCTCTAATCTTCATGTTGGTTTCTCCTCTTTAACAGGAAATGCAGTCTTTATAGGTTTGAACCAAGGATGAAAACTTAGACTAGTCATGCGGAGCTATTTAATGTTTGGACAATCAACCTAAAAGGCAACACCTGGGCTACAAGAAACATCTGTCAGTCACATGTTCCAATAGTTTTGCTCACTTGAAAAATGGGTGGGTTCAAACAAAGGGTGGTATGTCCTGAGTTGTTTAACACATCTAGATGTGAATACCAACTCTTGTCTCATACTCATCTTTTGATCTTAAACCCAAATGTCTTCAGTGAACAATAAAAACAAAGGAATTTGCCTTACTGTTCCAATACTTTTGGAGAGGATTGTGTTTACTCACTCACTCACTCACTTTATTCTGAAATAAATAATACATTTATTTTCTATTTTTCATTAATATTCAAACCTACATCATCCAGAAAATGACTGAGTGTGACCTCCAAGTGTTCCCCAGCCTTTATGTCACGTGAGTCTGACAGAAAATATATTTATTTCATTGACACCGAACATTTTTCCAACCAAAAATATTGATAAACAATCCAATCAACCACTGTCTGTCAAACCATTAAAGGTTCACTGTGGCCATGCGCCTTTAACAAAATACAAGAAGTTATTCCTTGTTCTCTGACATCACATAATCTGGCTGTAGCAGCTAGTGGTAGTTCAAAAGTAGCCATGCAGACTAGAAATGCAATATTGAATATATCGGTAATATGTTGCTAATGTTTTGGTCTTGTATCTTTACAGAATAATTGCCAAGATCCAAAGTGATATCAACGAGGGGGAGCAGAAGAGGGCCTTTGGTCATAAGTAAGGAAACAGGTTATATTTTACAACTTCTACTGAATGTGTAACTGTAACTCAACAACAATGCATCATTTTTATATTTATTTGTTTTTATGCAGATCAAAGGCACAAAAGTATCCAAAACAAGGTAAAGAACACTAGGGTTCAGCTACCACACTGATAACAGCCATCTTTCATCAGGCCTGATCGTTTTTACGGTTTATATTCCTGCAGAATCTGTACAGAAGGAAGAAATCTGGGACTCGGGTGAATTTGTAAGTAAAAGTCTATTTCTTTTTTTGATGATAAAAACATCTGAGTCTAAATAAATTATTATTAATTGATGATGCCACTTAGCATGTAACAGAGGGAATAGTTCACAATACTGTAATTCGGTGATCTGAGTTGCACGCATGCTCACTACTTGCGTCACGTGTCCGGGCTGTGGTCAGGACAACGAAAGTGATCTTGACTATGAGGGTCCACACCAGCAGGAAGAGGAAGACGGCTACATCTGTGCACTGACTGAGCAACAAGATAGTGACGGGACCAGTGAAGATGACTACACGATGCCTTCTTCTGCAGACGCGGCGAAGCCACCTCGACACCTGGGAGTGTCCGAACCTCAGGACGGTCACCACAGAGGTAACAGAGAGCAATCCATATGACACTGCTGCACATAAAGACATGCAATCATGTGTGGAAAACAGTGTCAGTGTTATCGGCTGTGTGTGTGTGTGTGTGTGTGTGTGTGTGTGTGTGTGTGTGTGTGTGTGTGTGTGTGTGTGTGTGTAGATCCTGTTCATTATCCGTCCCCTGCTGAAAGGACCTTAAAACCTCCAATTCCTTGTCCAAGAATGAACAGTCCCGCTCAGAGACCCTTCAAAGCACCAGGTGCTCCACATTTAACGATTCCACAGCCACCAAATTTGATTGATGATGATGATGATGATGATGATGATGATGATGATGATGATCTACTTATGTAAAACGTGTTTTCTCGTTTCTAACACCAGCCAGCCATCCCAATCTGCACATTGACAGGAGCAAAAAGCCTGGGCAATCTGGGCCATCCCAGAAAGACCTTACAAAATCAAGTATGTGCTGCTTATTATGTAGTGTTTGTAACAGCATGAATAGCAAAATGTCATAATCTGATCACAATATTACACATTTCTATTTCACACTGTCCGTTATGGCCACAAGAGGGCAGTGCTGTCGAGGCTCTTGGCTCACCCACTGGCATCATGTCTCAACCAAGGACCCAACATGTGTCCAACAGGTAGGCCAACCTGAACAATGCACTTTTTACTGTGTTTTTTTCCCCCAGTGATGTTCCATTTCATCTCTCCCCTCTCAGACCAAGTAAACCCATCCCAGCTCCTCCGGCGCCAACACAACCTTCCAAGGTTCACATTCCAATACCACAACCAAGAAAGGTAAGAATCAAAAGCAGACTCACAATCAAGCCATGATTTCCACATATACTGTGCTGACAGCAGAACACATGCGATATTAAGGGTGAGCTTTTCTCTGCAATTACACACTTTGAGTAATTTATATGGGGAAACAGCAGATGGCAGTGTTGTAAAAACAACATAATGGTAGGGACCGCCATGTCTGTGATGACAACTCAAAAGAATACTAAGTTTGGGTAATTGGAAATAAGTGTGTTATACTTGTTGTACAACAGCAATATTAAACAGTAAAGCACATTGTCATTGCAAAAGAGAAAAAACTCATTTATTATTCCTTACTATGACTGTTTTATAATAGCGCATCCAGGGTTTGGATCCCAGCTGGTATGGAGCAAAGGTGACCAGGCATCAAGCTGAAGTTGCTCTCAGAGAGGTGAACAAGGTCAGGTGCTGCCTCTCACAGTCCTTCTGGAGCACACACACACACACACACACACACACACACACCTGAAATTTCACAGGATTTTATTTCTAATATGTTAGTGGATTTGTCCACATTTTTGTCTTAAGGATGGGGCGTTTGTGGTGAGGGACAGCTCCCATGGCTCAGTTGAGCAGCCCTACACCCTGATGCTGCTGAAACAAGGCAAGGTTTACAACATTAAGATCCGTAACCAAGGCAACTCCTACTCCCTCGGCACCAGCCTCAACAACAAGGTAAACTGAAAGTGATTATACCACTACCTACAATGTTAAAACCAGAAGGAAAAAGTTGGCCTGTGCTCATAAAAGTAATCTGAAAAGTTCACATCTTGTGGCACGCCTCAGGGAGTGTTTGATGCAGACTTCTGCTGCGCTGCATCATTAGGTCCCTGTCATCTTTTTTTGTGTGCGCGTGCTGTGCTATAGAGTTTCCCTGGGGTGAAGGAGATGATTACCCATCACACACACACCCCACTGCGGCTCATTGATGCCACAGACCAGAGCTCTGAAGCACAGTCCCAGTGTTGCCTGCTGCACCCTGTGGGACTCTGACCAGCGCCGGCACCAACCTTAATGTGGGTGTTTGCGTCTGTCTCTGTGATTCTGTATGCTAATTTGTGCACATGAATACATGTGGCTTCTTAAGAAACCTTTTAGGAACATCCTAACAAATGTCGCAACTTGTACAACCACAAAAGGTCATCGTTATGTAATTCCTCTTTCCCGTAATCTCTCTTGTATTTTTTTTGTGAACAGTGGGAGAGAAAAGGAATGATTTTTACATGGCTGATGGCTTGTATATTTAATTAAACTATGTTTTCCAGTCACACAGCATTACCTCTGTTCGTCACGCCTCAAGTTTCAGGACAAGCTGGGGGCCGCTGCTCCAGTGCCTCTTGGACTTTCAGAAACGCCAGCTTGTCAGGGTGGCCAACACAAACGATCAGCTCACATTGACTCAGCTGGGTTCGCACTGCAAGCAGAAATCACATAGCTGGTTTCACAACATCCTCGGGTCAACACGGTTCTAAGATGTCCGAAAGTCACATCTGAGAATATGTAAGGTCCCACAACAAGGATGACAGTATTTAACAGGAAACAGCCTGAATGACATATGCTATTTTGTCCTGTTACTGTAAAGCAGTACTGGTATTCACTGTGTAACTGACCCAAACATACATTATTAAAACACAAGTCCATTTCCCTAACACCATAAATGATGTTGGTGATCACTGAGAAACTGTGTTTTATTTGGAGATATCCGAGAGTCAAGTCATCTGCTAATGCTATTCTACACCTTCATTCTAACTAGGTTTTGAATGTCTGAAAAATTGTCAAAATAAAATTCTCACAAAAGTCAACGTGCATACTAAAAAGGGATTTGGACACTATGGTTCCACAATAAAAAGTACAATGAAAACAGAGGAAATATTCACAGCTGGACAAATAACAATTTGAGGACAGGGGCGAGACCACTAAGAATAACTAAATGACAGACTATTAAATATTTGGTAAATGATTTTCTTTTTGGTTTTAGTAGTGTTAAAATTTGAGAATGCTTGAGCATGTCTTTAATCATTTCTTGTTAGTACTACATAGTAAAGTAGGCTCATTTCTTGTCATTGTATGCCAAAACAGGGGACACATCATCAAGTGTCACAGTATCACAAATCCTTCCAATGACTGTGTTTTATTTATATTTCACCTCTAATGTTCGTTTCCAGGTTTTGAACAATTAAAGCAAGCAGACAGTTCTAATCAAGTAAGACAACACAGTTAGCAGATTGCTTTGACTGCCTCTTTGTCCACGACTGTCCCCCCTGGCAAAAAAAAGAAGCAACAACATGATGCCTTGCATCAGATGGCTTGATGGACAAGCATGTGTGTGAAATCCTTCAGTTGCTCGTATCTGCCCATCAGCAGAGTGCAATCTGACAGACATCAAGTAGTATCATGTAACTCTGCACCCCTGACATCTACAAACAAGGCTAAGTTACGCAGCAGTTGGTGTGTAATAATCCACTTTTAGCTATCACCTTTCAGATCTAGTACAACAGTTACATCATGTGCTTTGCATATTTGCAAATCGATCACCAAGGTCATCTTTATGGCACAATTAATGCTTACTGGCATTTTGGGAGGTGTAAAGCGGTAGATGGGGATAGAGAATACATACATGCCAGTTGATTCATGCAGTTAGACAAGGAGTCCAGCCCTTTCAGTATCTGTTCCAGATCAGTGCAGGCAGTTGAGACAGCTTGCTCTGTGCTCTTCTCTGTGTTTTCCATCTGAAAAAATAATTACATAAGTAAACAGGTTTGTCAGCTCTAATTATACACCACACTAAAATCTAACAGATTTGAAAAGCAATTCTGAATGTCGATTTTACATTCCAAGTAAATGATCAACATAACATTAACGCAATAATAATAAGTGCCAGACATGTAAATCTATGTCTATAAAAAAAAACAGAACAGATTCTCTTTTCTTGATTTTGTGATGGCAGAAAAATGTTTTTTTCTTTCCATCAAAGATTTTATTGTTCAATTTAACAGGTTACACAGATCAGAACATTTTAGTACATTCAAAACAAACACAACTTGGAGGCCATGCTAAAAGCAACAAACAATCAAAGACCTGCAGTCTTTACATAACTGAAGGAATCGTGGTTTTTTTAATGCAAAGAAAGCAAAAGCATCAGTCCAAATACCCACTTCCTCTTTTAAAAATATAGTACAGTAGCAACTGCAATTTTAACTTGAACAGAATACAATCGGACTTAAGTGTTGCGGCAGAGGGATCCGGATCATTCTCCCAGCTCTGGCTCCTGTTCTCGGACTCCATAGACAGCAGCTCTGCATCTATGAAAGGCTTCTTCTAGTTTATGCATTGAGGCCCCCAGCTCGGGACTGGTCCGCAGTGCCACCATATCATAAGCCATCCAAGTCAGCTGCACTACAGGTGTCCAGGAAAAAAGGAGGATGAAATTGCAGCTACTTATGAGACACGTTATCACAGCTCCACGTTAAACCTGTTCCATTAAATACATTAAACGAAGCCTGTTCAACACCGTGCCACAATGCAATAAGATAACGACGGAACTCACCTGAAATATTTTCAACGTTTTCTATCATTCTCTCCAAATTCTTGTTCAGCTCCAACACGTCGTCGCTGCTGCTCTGCGGAAGCTCGGATGAATCGGCCATCTGAATTTAAAAAACCGGCACATGGCTTTTATCAGCTGTCGGTCAAGTCACACAGAGACTTCTCCACTAGAAACTAACGTCACCTCCAGCAAGCCGTCCCTCACATTGACTTGTCATGGCAGCAAAGGTAAACGCTAGTTAGCTTACGACGCTAAACGTTAGCGAGGTTAACTTGGAAAAGTTAGCATGGCAGGTAACTTAAGTTAACGGTAGTTAAGTTGGTTTTTGACATTGCCATTTGTCAAAAGGAACAACAGTCTGTACAAATGCTACCCGGAGTTTTAATCAGCAGTGGGGTTAAGAGGTATTATCTCATATAAAAAAGTGCAAAACTTACGATAGAAAGCTTTCCTTCAGTAACATTAATTTAGTTTGAAATCGAAAGATGTCGCGCTCACTAAAAAAAGAGCTGTAGCGCATTTTCAATTTAAAATGGGATGATGTAACTTCCTTTGAAGTGCACATTAATTTTCACACACCCCTATATATTTATTCCAGAAACGGAAAGAATAATTTATGGAATAAATAAATGTATACACTGTGTTGGCATGACTTTTGAACATATTAAAAATTATAATTTGAGGAATCAATACAACTTCTGAATGTGAAATACTGGAAGGCTATTAGCTTGCATATATTAAAGGAAACTGGCTAATTTCCCTACAGTTACAGAGACTACATTTGAATTGGCTAAATGATATCATTACTATATTCCAGATTAAACTCTACAGGCTACTGTCAGGATGCTGTCCATGATGTCAGAAGAAATAATTATTAAAATTCACAAATTGTCTTTTTTCAGCCTGTTAAAATGTGCATAATAATATTTTAAATAATTGCACATGATTGATCTCAGTTAATGTTGGACTAAAAGCTTGAGTTGAAAAGTAATTGAGGGTGAAAAAAACCCCTGGAGGGATTGAACTAGCTGACAGCATGAAAAAAAAACAGAGAAAGCAGGAACAGACTACTTACCTGAAAAAACAACCAATCAAAGAACTAGTGGGCGTTTCCAGGCAAACAGATAAAGCAGGTATGACAGGTGACATCTTGACATAAAGCAAGGGCAAACAGACAAGAAAGTAGTGGGAGAGGAGTAACCTGCAACTTGGAAGCGTAGAGACCATCATTTGGATCAGCTCACGTCCAAATACCTGCAACACCTGGTTTGAATGAGAAAAGGACTTTTGGTGGGCTGACTAAACTGCTGCAAAAAGAGTTTGCCATAGAAAGGACAGACAACCAAAGGCGAAGGGTTAAGAAAAGACTCTTGAGAGGTGAGAAGAAATTTTACAATGTCTTCATTTGAGACCCAGGGCCAGTCTCCTCCTCGGTGTGGCCCGCAGTTCCCCAGCCTCGGCCAGGAGCCCCCTGAGCTCAGTATGTACAGTGACTGCTACTACCCCCCTCCTTCCTTGCCAAGTCCTCAGCGCACCACGCCAACTTCCTACGATCTGAGCGAGTTCTCAACCTCCTCCCCAAACCCTTACCTCTGGTTCAACGGCTCCGGCATCAACACGCCGTCGTACCTGGCTACTACTGGCCCGCCCGGTAATCCCGGCCCTCCCTTTGTCCCTCAGCACTATGGCATGCAGAGGCCTTACCTGGGTCCTGCTGGAGCTGGGGGTCCAGGAGGGGAGCTGAGTTGGTACTCTCTCCCCTCACAAGAAGACCTGATGAAGCTGGTCAGGCCACCTTACTCCTACTCCGCTCTCATCGCCATGGCTATCCACGGAGCACCAGACAGGAGACTGACCTTGAGTCAGATTTACCAGTACGTCGCCGACAATTTCCCGTTCTACAACAAGAGTAAAGCAGGCTGGCAGAATTCCATCAGACACAACCTGTCACTCAATGACTGCTTCAAAAAAGTACCAAGAGATGAGGATGATCCAGGTAAAATTTATGTTTTGTTTGTTTTTGGCTCTGTTTTGAATATATCTAACAGGGAGAGATTTATACGATTAATTAACTTATTTTCCATTTTGTATCGCTTTTTGAATGTTCTGTGGTATGTTCGCGGTGTTTTGCATGTACTAAAGCTAGTTTTCCATTTTCTAATTTCACCAACTCTGTATTCTTGCATGACAGGCAAGGGCAACTACTGGACACTTGACCCAAACTGCGAAAAGATGTTTGACAACGGGAACTTCCGCCGCAAAAGGAAAAGGAAGTCTGATTCCCTCTCCGGTGGTGATGGCGGTTCAGGGGCTCCAGAGTCGGGTGATAGCGAGAGGGACAGCCCCAAAAACAACTCTGCCCTTAACATCTCACCCACAGCGGACAGGATCCCCTCACCTTCATCATCAGGTCCCGCACAGTGTCTGAGCAGCTTCTTATCCGAGATGTCTGGTATGACCACTGGAGCAGCTAATGAGGTGGGAGGTGATGGGTTAAGCAGGCCACTGCAGATCAACGTTCCTTTAGATGGGCCTCATAGATCCACGCAACCTGGAAGCTATAGTAGCTACTCCCCCAACTCAGAGTGGGTACCGCAAGTGCCAGCTCCCCCTGTGCTCTCCTCTTCACCCACCCACTCTTCCCTAGGCTACTCTAGCCCCATCCTCAGCCAGTACAATGGGTCCAGTGGGCATTTCTACCCTACGCTGGGCTCAGCAGGAATCATCTATCACCGTGATGGCACAGAGGTTTAATAAGTTTACCTGTTGGGTCACTTATGTTGTTAGAGTGGTTCTGATGTGAAAGACAGTGCACACACAAACACACACAAGTATATTTGCGCTGACTGAGACAGTTGAGATGACTAAAGCATGTGACAGCAGAGTAAAAATGCTTTGATTCCCACAGGAACAGCTGAGTCAGCCACAGTGGACGACGAAACCGTAGTCTGCCTCACTATCAGATCCTCAGTCAGCTTTTATTCTAAATAAAGCTAGCCCCTATCAGATCTGACTCATTATTAACCGATCCTAGATCTGATCTGCTGACATCAGGCCATTCCACACCACTATCTGTGATTCATTGATGGTATCACACTTACAACGCTCAGACAGCACATTTAGAGGAGTAGTTAAACAAACAAAAGGTAAAATTTAGACTTTGTGTCATGTATTTTGGTTGAACTAAAACTACACAATCTGATATACGTACAATCTTTGATTCTGATACACAAGTGGTAATTGTACTTTGTAAATATGTCAATGTGTTGTGTAATGTTATACATTTATATTATTGGTTTGTTGGTACAGCTGTTATTGTTCAAAATGGATTCCTAATGTATGGTATACGCTTTCTATTTTGTGTTTTTGATATGAATAAAAGGTTTTAGAGTTCTACATTTTCTCCTGTTATTTTTATGAAGAATATTGAATAGTACTCAGGAGCAATAGATTAATTGCTCCCACCCCCTGTCCCCACCCCCCCCACCCAAAAAAAAAAAAAAAAAAAGAAAGCAAGACAATAAGCACTCACTGACAGAAAACAGTCCTGTCAGAAAAGCGATGACCAGTAGAGTAGAACCTGCATGTCTGTGTAACCTGATCTTTGTGTGATGGATAGTTAACTGATTCTCCTAAACGGTGAAAATCCACATTCCCATGCTGCCCCTCTTCGCCACACCAAACACTGAAATCCCTCTCTATCACACCATCTATACACAGATTACTGCTGACTGGATGCAAGCAGCTTTATTAGGGGAGAGGGACAAACTGTAAGAACCTGTAAAGATGCTGAAGCATGAACTAACTGCCAAGTAAACAGTCGCGCAACACAGTGCACAACATGCTGATTCATAGTTTACCTTCAAGCAGAATGTTGGGACGAATTTCAGCACTATTATCAAGTTATTCAACATCATGGACAGTTTAGTCTGTGAAAGCTAACCAAGGACTTTCTGTACAAGCAACAGGTGTGTATTAAGTTAAAAGCTTTATTGGCATACACACAGAGAAACAAGTTTGCACTGCACAAAGCAATTTAGTTTGCTTTCTGCTGGGACTGCCATTCATAAAAAAGTACTTAAAAGGAACAAACAGACGCAGTAATCTGTACGTACATGAAAAAGATATAATGTAATATAAAAAGAGATATATAAAAAACGATAGCATGTATATAAGGATTACAAAACTGTATGGTAAAGTATGTGTAACCTTAATGTATATTTATGAAGTCAGATGTGGAACAGTAATGCAAATTTGTACAATAAGTTAGAAGCACTGTGGTAATAAGAATCTGAAGAATCTGAAATTGGTAATATGTTCCTGCCTGTTATAAGTCTTGATAATAATAATAAAATAATATAGATTACATTTCATATTCAAACACTTTACACTTTATTATGAGTCCATGGTGTAAATTTGGGCTTAAGGATTGCCTAAACTGTCCAATTAATCACACCCATTTTCTACATTTGTCAATTTAATAAACAAAGTTGGTGATTAGTAGAATTTGCCAATCATTTATTGCTTAGTTTTATCCTGTTCTTTATTTGTCCTTCACATTTTATTCAAATTAATACAAACTCTGCGATTGGTGTCACCCATAGGCCTTTATTTACCCTGAAACACAGGCAGCATGGCAGTCATTTACACTAAACACAGAAAGAAAGAATACACACTCCAAACTCAGATCAAGTGGAATTCAACATCCTGGCAGAATTGACAACATGTATTAATGGTTGGAAGTTAGGGGGTCAAGCTGTCAACATTTGCATAACGGATTTCAAAACAAGTGATGAGGTTACATTTGGATGGATCATAAAGTCTTGCTTTATTAGTTACCAGACTTGCGAGCATATGTGATTTAACTGTGTGTAGTGTCCTGTCTCGTACTGTTCCATAAACTCATTTGGGGATTCATGACTGTGCCAGATCATTATGCAAATAGATTCTCTTTTACTGCAGATGTAACGCTTACAGAGTGGATCAGGGGATTCTTTTTTTAAAGTCAGAGAGAAAGAAACAGGAGAAGCTGAGAAGAGGGGAAAGTAAATATTAGAAGAATCACTGTCCTAACATGTCACACCTCCATCCCAAATTGTCTTGGCAATTTGAATAGTTTGTTTAGTGTAGTGTTGTTTTTTTTCTCCGTATCTTGTTCAGACTTTGTGCTGGCAGGTGAAAGATGTGGCATCAGGAATGGGGTGGCCTTTTGCCTTGTCGATACAGCTCGAGCTCTTGTAGTGTATCTGCCAACAGAAACATTATAGGGTATTTGTCTCTGCGACCGCATTAACAGCAGACGTCAGCTTCTGCTGTCTTATACAGACAGTTTCCCACTGATGCAAATTTGCAGCCGTTAATCACGTCGTGGATGGTTATGACAAGGTCAGAGGGAGAATGTGGTGATGATGGATGGAGATAGAGCTTTCCAGATACAAAACGGTAAAAACTGAGGGATTTGCCTTTACCGACTCCCTGAAGTCAATTAGCTTGTATTGAAACTCAAAACACAACACAGAGTTTGATATTTTGGAACTTCCCTTGTCTGCTTCTTGCATTTGTATTGAATATATTCTTTATTTAGACAGCTATGCCCACTGACCACAAACTTGTCTAACTTGGCATTGCATTCATTCAAAGAAATTATACTTTTTCCCTCTCAAATGTTTTTTAAAATCTTTTTCCCAGTAGAGAATGACACTATAAAAACTTTGTTTGATTTTCTGCTTCCTTTACCTTATAGCGCATTCAGCTGTGATATATTGGAGCACAAGCTATTATACATGTATTTTGGAACACACTAGTTTATGATTCAGGGATACCCGGCACAGCATCCATCAATCACACGTTATTGTAGCCATGGACCTTCTTTGCCTTAGGCAGTAGAATTATTGCTCAACAGAGTGATACGGGATCTCCACCTGCTGCCTGGCTCGTGGCAGTCTTCCACACACCTGTCGAACTAACGGAACGCACACACACACACAAATTGCTTATGTGTGTGTGTTCATGCAGTGCAGGGCATACAAGTGTGTGTTGTTTATAATATAAACTCAGACAGAGAACGATTATACCAATGCTGCTACGGATGAGAGATTTGTGTTTGTAATAACTGTTCTGATTAAAGTGGTGTAAAAAAACATGTCACACCTCACTGTGTAGTAGATAAAGAGTTTGCAAAGTCTGACAGCTAGGAAATCTGTTCAAGTTCATTCCTTCTTAAGTGAGTACTACTTTGCTTTGGATAACTGCTACCTGAACGGAAAGTTAACTGTCTTGGTACCAAAGCAACCCAAAACACACACAAGGACACACACGCACCTTCTGTATTTACTAAAACAGTCATGTCCTATCATGGCTGTTTAGTAAACGGTAGCAGAGAACGTCAAGCCTGGAGACATATCGTCATGGCCAGTGCTCCAACTCTGCATTACCAGCTTGCTGTTATGTGTAAACATCTACGCGCACTCCAGACACACGCATACAGGTGATGAAAGGAATGAAATACCTTGCCCTTTATCTGGAAGTCATTGAACAACCTTTTCGGTTTTTTGTTCTCCTTAGAGGTCAATGCTAGATTTCGTACAATTTGTTATACCACGATTTGTATCCAGGTGCTGTTGGTAGAAGAAAACTCCATACATTTTCAGGCATGATAGTTGTGCGATTGAATGCCAGAAATCCGATTTACATTGCTTAGCAATATAACTCTTGACAATGCCTAAATACTCAGACACTCGCCAAGTTTCCACCACCGACGTCGAACAATGTTAGACCGTAGAAAAAGTTCCAGTTTGCCCAAATCCCATCAAAGTTCTCAGTGACGAAAAAAGTATAAAAATGCAGCAGCTCCTTCTTTGTAAAATACAACATCCCAGTGTCTCAGACTCCAGAGAATAAGAGTGATCTCTCTTTCCTAAACATGGCTTATATACACGATTTGGGGAAAAGTGAAGTTTAAAGACAAACACAGAGCGCAGCGAGAGTGTGTGTATATATGAATCATTGCTATTTCACCCTAAAATATTTTCCATGTCAACATGCAGTAAACATGGAGATATGAAGAGGGCTTTGCAGTGAGGGAGGGAGTAGAAGGATGAAGGGGGGAATAAAGTGTGAAGTGTATATGTCTTACTGGACTTCTGCTGAACTGATCCAAAATAATTGGAAGACTTGTGCCCATTTACTGACTAATGGCACACTGAGAACCATGTTTGGGTAGTATCTATTTTTTCATACCTTCATACCGTCCTTACATTTTACCAGGCTATAATGTAAATGATGGTAGTTTAAATACTCGTGGCCCATTGAATGATGTATATATAAAGTGCCCTTCCATAGATTCTTACTAAAGGACATGATGAAAAGTGTTGCCATAGATATAAACATCAGTGGGCTGAATGAGATGATATGCACACAGCTTCTTCTGTGTTGACTGGCTCGCCGTCATCAGGACTAAAACCCAAAATACTCCCAAACAGGGGCAGAGGCTTAGTTCTTGTTTACTAGTCCTGTAAAGTTATCCCACCAAGTAGCAGTGAGAAAGAGAGGGGTGCAGAAAGAATGCAAAGGAAATGGTGAGCAGTGAAGTTTGTAAATGTAAAGCGTAGGCTACAGTTTGTTAGCGAATATAGGCTGCAGCTGAATCTCCTGTGTTTGTGTTGTTTACCAACTGCTGGAAAAGGGAAGGGGGTTATTGTGTTGAAGATGATGTCAGGCAGTTTCACAATGAGGCTGACATTAGGGGTTTTGAGTAAAATCGCTCTATAACCACTATTACTTAGTACTTTGTGTTTAGTGCTAATTGCTAACATGGTTGACTAAGATGGTTAAATGTTAAACATAATACCTGCTTGTATCATTGTGAGCGTATTAGCATTTAGCTCAGAAGCACCGCTGTGTCTTAGTGCAGCCTCTGAGACGTTGGCTGTAGACTCTTATTCTTGTTATAAAGTGAAAAGGTGACAAGAACAAAACTTTGGCTGTAAATCGTGTGCTGGTGGACCATCATTTCTTAGGGCCAAATAATGTGACTTAAACAGAAGACAAATTAGGTTTTTCATTACAAACACGAGCAATCAGAAATATGGAGTGTAAGCTCACATCAGGCCCAATACTGTAGAGGATAATCATGAAGAAAGAAGGCTGGGAAAATAATACAGTAAGAACTAAAGTGAAAGAAGTGTTCCTTCTCATTGTGTATTTGGGTACTTAATTTATTGCTTCTGATAATTCATTGTGGCTTCCCAGAAAAAAAAGAAGTGGCTACCCTGATAAAGGCAAAGAGGAAATATAACAAGTGTCATTTCTTATTATTGTTCTCAGGGAGCTTTATCTATTTTTTCCTTCTGGGTAGAACAAGGAATAAAATTACTTTCTGAATATAAAGCCCAGTGGATTATAGTCAGGTCTTTCAGAAGCTAGGTGAATTACACACACTTTATGTGTATTTCAAATCACTGTATATGTTTAGTAAATACAGTCCTCACATGGAGGAGTGTGCAATAATGCACTCTGTGTGACAAAAATAGGCTCATATTTAGATGCATTGGCAAGCTCTGGAACTGGACCAGACAGCAGAGGTGAGATCCAAACTCTGTCCATTTAGAAGATAAATTGCTCAATAAAAAAAGAACAGGAATGGCTCAGTTTCTAGTCTGCAAATGTGGCGATTAACCTTCAGACAGACTCCTCGAACAATTTTGCCTCAGGCAGACACAGCATTAGAATGGCCTTCCTGGTTTCTAAGAATATATAGTGCATTTTGAGGAAGTCAATGTCAGTGTTTGCAGGGTCCTTCAGCTACAGAGCCTTTGCATGTAGGTACTAAAACCCTTCAGCAAATAACTATAATTTGACCTTAAGTGACAACACAAATTCATACTAGTTCTACTACCTACGAATGTGTAGCAGCCTCACTGGATGTAACATGTAGGGACAGGGTATCTTAGAAGCCGCTGAAAGTACAGTACAAGCTGAAACACTTTGCATTAAAAGTTGATACTGTAGCTGCAGATCATTATTATGACATATAATAATAATAATAATTATTATTATTATTATGAAGAAATGATTTTGCCATGAAACTCCTAAATGCTCAGGTGAGGAATAGTGTTCCATAATTTTAGTGGGTGATGATAGTGATCTTATTTTAAGCGTGGGTGATGATAATGGCTCCAGGTTTTATGTTATGCTGCCCCTTGGGGACAATAAAGTTGAAGTTAAGTAAACATGCTGTATAATTAGTGTTAAAAACTCACAGAGTCATGAATCTTAAGCAAACCCTTCAATAACTAACATAACTTTTGAATTATTGAAGAACACCCACTGGTTCACCCACCGATAGTCTTTTGTCAGTTGTTTGTTTTAATTTTAAGGTTAACGATGATGATTGTGGTGCTTATTAAAAGGGCTGAGTGACAGCTCGTTGCTTCCTCCTCCTCTATTTGTCCAAGCAGTCAGACTCCATACAAATTATTCAGTAATGCATGTTATACGACTAACCAGGGCATATTGATATTTACGACAACCATGCCTTTTCAGTCAATATGTGGTTATCCAACAATTTACAAAAACTTAAACAGATTTATAAAATTTGGCAGTTGTAAGTTCAAGTAATTGCTGTGCACACGCATGCTTGAAGATTTATTGGCACAAACTGGGGCTGCAGCATTTGCCACACTGAGAAATTGAAGCACCTCACCATACTGTGTAGGCTGTATAGTTCTCTCTTAAACTACAGACTTTACATTATGTTGTAATCAAGCAGGGAATCAGTTACCGCAGCAAAATCCATTCACTCTCTACAGAGTCTTCTCACCTGGAGGCTTCTTGTCACATAAATGTTGTTATAAGGCTCTACTTTTTTTCACATTACCTGGGGTTAATGTGAATAGCATAGTTTTGGTCGACTCAAAACTCCTACCACATATATAGTGGTACTTCAGTTGCTATAGTTTTGCATGTTTACTGACAAATTTAAATGTGCTTGTAAATAGGCATCAGAGACGATGCATCTCACCACAGACGGCATCAATTATAATCGTTAAGTCCTCAGTCTAAAGTCGTTTACTGTTAGTGTGGGTGCCTGAAGGTTACCTCTGAGGGATTACATGTCACACCTACTGTATGAATAACAGGAAATGTCCTGGCGAAATCTGTTGGTCCTGCATGCTTGAAAACATCAGACAAGCACGTTTTCCAAACCCTCATAAACTGTGTGTTATGACACAGTGTTCTGACTTCGATGACAAAAACAAGGTTCCTGACTCCACTGGTAAGATAGGTACTGTTGGGGATTTTTGTATGGAAATAATTTAAGCAAACATGTCTTTGATGCTTTACTCAGTAACTCAGTAAGTTAGCTTAATATGTGCGGCTGCACAAACAAGAGCCAGATCCGAATCTTGTTTGACATAAGTATGAGAGATAAGTCATAATGTTTTTTGGCTACGTGTGCTGCCACTACCCCTGCTGAAGTTAAAATGTTTAACATCTGCAAGCAGTTTGGCAAAATAACAGCTTTTTTTTATCATTAACCATGTTTGATACCATAACTTCAGATCAACATTATTTTCTAAGAAGTTCTTGTGCCATGAAACTGTTAAATGCTCAGGATCAGTCAACTGAGCAATAGTGTTCCATATAATATTAGTAGGTTTATGATAGTGATCTTGTTTTAAGTGTGGGTGATGATAATGGCTGAATGTACTCCAGGTTTTACATTATGCTGCCCCTTGGGGGCAATAAAGTTTAAGTTAAGTAAACATGCTGTATAATTAGTGTTAAAAACTCACAGAGCCATAAATCTTCAGCAAACCCTTCAATAACTAACATAGTTCTTAAATTATTGAATTACGCCCAACTTTAACATTTATGGTTGCAGGAAACTAAAGTTTTTTTTTTGCTGGTTTTATTTCCAGTATCTTTCATCCTCCAAAGGATCTCTTAGGAAAAAATATTTCCAGAGAGGGATTTCTTTAAGACATCTTGATATGTCTGTTTGACTAACAGAGAGTTCTTGAGGAGCATCTTTACCAACAAAATGTTTCTAAGAATGTAGCCTATAGTACATTTTGGCAAGTGAATGTCAGTGTTTGTAGTGTCCTTTAGCTACAGAGCCTTTGCACGTAGGTAGGCTACTACTACCCTTCAGCTAAGAACTGTAATTTGAGTGACACAAATTCATACTAGTTCGACGACCTACGAGCGTGTAGCAACCTCACTTGGTGCGACATGTTGAAACAGGTATCTTAAAATCAAGGAGTCCGTTTAGTGGTCATTGAAAGAACTGTTCGAGGTTACATACATTGCATTTAAAGTTGTCGCAGCAGATCGGTGTAGCTTACATATAAAGTGGTGCATCTGGGTGTTATGTATGTTGAACGCATTATTAACTCAATATTGAACTGTATCAAAAGAATTGGCTACTGTGCGGTACTCCTGTCACAGTTATAAAGATCCAAAAGCCACCAATCTTTTTCACAAGTCTATCTGCTTTTTCATTACTTTGCAGATCTATGGGGTCAAAGTAAGAATTAATGGAAAATTAATTGCCTGCCATGGCCTGGTGAAATGAGGGTTTCACACGTGGCTGGACAGATAATCGATTCACTGGAATACTGGACTCTTAATGTGGTGCCACTTAGTGGGTCTATAAACACATCAGAAGCTGGAATATCAAACAAATGCAAGCATGGTATATAGGCTATTGTAGTGAGTATATTAATGTTTTACTATGGGCAATGAAGATATACGATCCATATTACATCCACATACATTTGTACTGAGAGATAGATTTTTTCATTTTAGTCCATTATTTCTTCCTTGCTATGGTGCAATTCCTGGATTTCCGATTGCCATTGTTTGTGTGCAGAGTTATA